TTGACCTGAAGTGATCTTGTTAACCTGAGCCTTAACCAGACTGGTCTCTGAGAGTCATCTTTAAGTCCCAGTTGCCTAGGAAATGACTTGGATCATTTTGTTTGGGGCATTGTGTTCTTTTGAAGAATTCCTAACCTTCAGGGTCAGCATGGAAGCCGTGTTTGCGGGACATTAAGATTATGGAAGCGCTGCTCCCAGACCGGTCCATGGCAATGCCCATAAGAACCTTTGGAGGTTCGCTCAGCTAAACATTTTTACAAGGTCACTCCAGCTTGTCAATCACATATAAAATGTGCATAAGCTTCATTCAATTACTATCGTTGGCTCCATGTGATTTAAAACAACAACAACAACAATTTGAGCCACCACCTGAAGGTAGCTGAACCCTTTATACCACACCGGGACTTCTGTGGCCTCTATTAAGCTAGATCATTGCTTGGGATTCAGAGAGGGAGGCTGTGCTTGGTTATGCGACTGAGAGGCATGTTTTTCAAGAAGAAACCAGAATGAAGAGAGGAGATGGCTTAAATCGCTTCTCTTTTCCTTCAACGTCTCTCTCTTTCTTGCTTGTTTATGAAATAGTAGCACAGCCCAACAACAATTTCTTTTGTTTTGGCTTTTAGGCCTGCTCCTGGGGTTATTTGAGGCACTAATTCAGAAAATTGCACTGGATAGACGGTAGCAGCTCTATTTTCTTAAATACAGTGTTCAGCAATATTTTCAGTTATTAAGTTATACTAATTTATTAATTTGCCATCCTAGTTTTAAGTATAAAAAGAATTCAGATGCACACTTTATAGGATAAGAAAAAATAGATAAGACGTATTTGAAAGAGAACTGGGTATTAAGGAAGTTCCAAGGAAAGTGTATATGGACCCAGGTGGTTGCACATTGAGCTGCCAATCATAAGGGCACTGGTTTACACTGGCCAGGCACTCTGCAGCCTTTAAAAGATTTAAGGACTTGTAAATCTAAAGGGGCAGTTCTTCTTTCTCCTATAGGGACACCGTGACTTAGAATCAATTTAATGGTAGCAGGTTTTTCTTTTGGGCATGGGAGGCTGTGCAATACATGTAAAGACTACAAGTTGGATACCGCAAAGCCCGGAGACCGCTCGAGAAGGGTGGAAAGAAAATGGACAAGGCACATAAGGCGAGAAGGTAATTTAGAGGGTCAAAAATGTAAGATTCCTAGCAACTTTCATAAATATTTGGAAGATCTAAACTTTCCCTCTTCAACTTATGCAATGAACATTTCAGAACACATTTTAATATGTGGAAGTCCGCGGGTAATTCATAGGAAATGTGTGAGAGGTGAAATGGACTTAAAGTTTCTTTGTAAGAAAATCTCTAACTTTTCTTTTAAGACTTTCTTCACACAGGTGGCAAAGTTGTGCCATCTTATAACAAGACTAGAACATTTTAGTAAAGGAGTTCAGATTCTGAAAGACCCAGTTTGGGTTTCAGCACATTCGGATCTCTGCTGATTGGACCAGACTCACTACTAACCCTTCAATTAC